CAAAAATTTAAATATAAAATTACATATATTCATAGCATGGTATCATTGTTGCATTGATTTTTATTTATTTATTTTTTTTTCATATCTTGGGTAAAAGGTCCTAATAGGACTAGATTCCACAACAATTACCCAAAATATAAATCAATTCAACAAAAATATGAGGATTATAAAAATCATACCAAACCAAACCAACTTTTAAGTCCCATTAAATGGAATCGACTACATAAATCCTTCTTCACTCCACTCTATCAAAAGCCATTTGATTAGTCAAATTAAAAAGATTCATATCTCTATTTACTACTCTAACCCACGTCAATCTACGTCTGTCCCTTCCCCTAACACTTCCCTCTACCGTCACTGTATTGCATATCTTCATTACTGCCTCTGTTGGTCTTTATTGTATATGACAAAACCATTTCAATCTATTGTTTCACATCTAATCTTCTATCAGTACTACTTTTACCCATTCACGAATATACTTATTCCTAACTCTGTCTTTTCTAGTCTTACTACACATTTACCTTAGCATTCTCATTTTAGTAACACTCATCTTATCTACATGTTATTTCTTAGTTGCCTAACATTTTGTTCCATAAAACATTGTTGGTCTAATAATCATTTTATATAACTTTCATTTTAATCTAGTGGGTACTCATTTATCGCACAATATCAATCAAACTCATCCAATCCAACGTCACCGACACCAACTGCTTCATCCAACAGCTGATCAAGAACAAGAAACTCGTCAACCCATTCATCCAGCGGTGCTTAGAAGATTGTTTTGATCTGTACTCTGATGCGATTCCTTCTGTGGAGCAGGCGATGGAGAATTATGATTTGGAGAGATTTGTGGATGCGAATGTGGAATTGAGTTCGGTTATGGACGCTGCTACGACTTGTGAAGATGGGTTTAAAGAGAAGAGAGGGGTTGTTTCGCCATTGACGAAGAGGAATGGTGATACTTTCGAGCTCTCTGCAATGGCGCTTTCTATTATGGGTATCAGACTGGTTCACAGTATTGATATCTTCATTCTTTTCATATTTTCGTTAGATTATATGTTGTTAAATTATCCGTTCTGTTTTATTTTGATTCTCAATATTGAGGAGTCGTAGTTTTGATTTTTAATTAAAAAGTCAGAAAATTATTAAAAGTTTTTAATTATTCTTTTATTTTTTTATGTCTTTTTGTAAAAACTCACTAAAATAATTAATTTTCAAACACTTCTTTTAATTATAGGGATAATTTCATTTCAATATAAGTCTGGAAAAACATTTTCAAATTAATGATAAACTTTGTAAGTAATAAAAAGTGAAATAATAGTTTTTCATAGATGATGTGTAATTAAATTGTGAAAATTCCACTGAAATGGAAATTCTCCTAAATTATATCAATTTGATTCATAAACTCATTTTTCTTTTAAGGAGGTGGCTTCTGCACTATAGGAACGTGAAATTCACCACAGGTTCATTTTAATAATTTAAATCGTTTATTTTATTGAGTATTTTTTGTGTAAATTATTTATAAAAAAATTTAGATCGATTAACTTATTCAATTTATCGCCAATTCAATACACTAGTCATTTTTTTAGAGAGAAAAACGATAAACTGAATAGGTTATGATTATCAAATCAATCTAATTTTTGTGTGAATGATATATATGAAAGGCCTTATAAAATGAGTTGTTTAAATTATTAAAACAAGACTTATGATGAGCTCCGCAGGTCTACAGATTCACAAACTCAAACAGGAAAGGAAGCCCAGTTGTTTCTTTAAATGATCTCCAATACCGCATGTGGGGAGTTCGAGTTCCATTTGCTCATCGACTTTTGTCTAAATTCACACTATTTTGTCTGTTTAAATATAATTACGGAATGAAAATGAATTGTTTAGACATGAACAAAAGCAACGAATATCAAGAATTGAACTGGGTTTTCATAAATGCTATGAATTATGAAAAATTACCCTGCAATGAGCTGTATGGTGTAAATCTAAAGTTGGTAAGATATGGATAATACTTAAAATGATAGTAAACTATAGATGCATTTTTCTAGATATTTTCTTTGGTAAAATTCTGAGTATGTAGCATTACTGTTGAATTTTTGTTCATTGAGTTTTTGTTTGTTGTTTGATATTCAAACAGTAAAATAGTTTATTATGAGTTTTTGTAGTCGGTAAATAGAAACATTTCATATCCATCCAAATTTTGTTTGAATTTGGGTAAAAATTGTTAGGGAAAATTAAAATTCTGAGTATGTAGCATTACTGTTGAATTTTTGTTCATTGAGTTTTTGTTTGTTGTTTGATATTCAAACAGTAAAATAGTTTATTATGAGTTTTTGTAGTCGGTAAATAGAAACATTTCATATCCATCCAAATTTTGTTTGAATTTGGGTAAAAATACCCCTACTTTGGTCATAAAATTTGAATAAAAGCCACACTGAAAATATTTTAAAAAAAATTACATAAGTTAAAATTAAATTTATATAATTTAAACATCAAGCATCAAAATAAAAACAATATGTATATATTTTGAAGATCGATAGTGTATTTGACAAGTGCAACATTGGAGACTATTTAAAACCAATAGCGTATTTGGCCATTTTCCTTATTACGTGATGAAGAAAATGCTCTATTATTTCAAAAAAACAAAAAATGGATCTCCGTTTGGTTCTTTTCTTATCTATTCATTAATGGAAGTTCATTTTCTTTGTATTACGTTTGGTTAATCGGAAAGTCTTGATTCTTGAGGGGAAGAAAATAAAATACTAAAATGATTGTAGTTTTGATCTGTCATGAGTGACTTTTAATTAATCTTTTGTCATAGACTTTTGTTTCAAAGTTTTAAGCTTCTACATTAATGTGAAGAAAGTTGCAAAGCAATCTTTTAATACTGAAGTAACTTGCAAGGCAATCTTACGAGCTGGGTCGTCATAGTTCTCATACATAATTAAATAGGTGTTTGGGGTTGATTTTTTTAATGATTTTTTTTTTGGGATTCTTTAGTAATTTTTTTAATTTTTTTTTAAAAACCTTATAATTTTAAGTTCTACTTGACTAAATGGATTAAAAATAAATTTGAAATTTAAAAAAACGTCCAAAAAGGACCCAAAGGTTTGAAAAAAAAAATTTGACATAATTTAAAAAAAAATATCACTGAAGACAAAAAAAAAATTCAAAAAAATTGATTTCTTTTAGAGGGTGTTTGAGCAAGGATCCTCTAGAGTTTTTTTTCCCTAAAGTTTCCTAGAGTGGTGCATTGTGTAGTTGAGATTTAATGACAACTCACATCAATTTTTCAGCATTAAATCTCAACCACACAATACATCACTTTAGAAAACTTTAGGAAAAAAACACTCTAAAGGATCCTTGGTGATTTTTTTTGGGGTTCCCATCTTGTCTTTTCGACAATGTATTTGGGAAGTTAAAAATATTTTGTTTTCTTGGAAGTAAAAAAAGTTAAAAGTTATTGTGACATTTACTTTTTTAAAGGATGATAAATAATTAGTGATTTTTTTACTTTGCAACTTTTTTTTAACCAAAAATTGACATTTTTTTAGGTACCCAATCCACAAGTTGAGAAATATTACAAATTTATAATTTTAGATCTATAAATTCACTCGCAATGATGTGGTTAGAAATGTGGAACTTATAAAGTGTGTAATAAATCAAAATTGACATCTATCATAATTAGGGGTGTAACTCGGGTGTATTGAGAGGTTATCCAAACCCATTTCGAGTTGTGCTGAGAGTTGCTCAGACCCGTTCAAACCCGAATTATAACCCAAGATTGTTTACTCAAATCTGACTTGAGTTAAGTCCAAATTGCCCGAGTTGTAGATAAATTTGAGGTTTTTTTTTATAGTACAACTAAGTTAATTAATTTATTAAAATTAGACTATGTTTATATATATTTTTTATAAAATTATTAATAACATAAAAACAAATAATTTATATAGTGTGATAGAGATAAAAATTGAAGAACCAATGAACCGCTACAATGGTCTTCACAAGTTCTGAATGAGAAAATAAAAATATAAGGTTTTATGCTGTGAAACTTGTATATATATAATGGATATTGTTATTTTAGCTCAAAAGTTATATTCATTTTTCAAAGGGGAAATAACAGAACAACTGGATAGTAAAAAAAAAAATTATAACCCAAGATTGTTTGTCTAAGCCTAACTCGAGTTAGGCTCGAATTGCCCGAGTTATAGATAAATTTGAGATTTTTTTCTTCTTCTTCTTTTTTTTTAATACAACTAAGTTAATTAATTTATTAAAGTTAGACTATATTTAATAACATCAAAATAAATAATTTATATAATGTGATAGAGATAAGAATTAAATAACCAATAAACTGCTACAATGGTCTTCATAATTTCTGAATGAAAAAAATAAAAATATAAGGTTTTATGTTGTGAAACCTGTATATATATGATGGACATTGCTATTTTAGGCCAAAAGTTATACCCATTTTTCAAAGGGGAATAGCAGCATAGTTGGACAGTAAAAAAAAATTATAAATCAGTGAAAAAGTTTATATATTTTAATAATTAAAATATTATATTTTTTCATGATTTCGATTTTTTTTTTTTACTGTCATTATTGTGCAGTTATTTTTCTTTTTTTAAATCTAATGATGTGATAATCAAATAAAAGTTAAAATATCTAAAATAATTTTTTCTCTCATATTTTCTTTAATTATTAATTAATTATCTCTCTATACATTTTCATTGTGAGTCAAATTAAAAAATAAAAAATTTGTGAGTCTACATACAAATCTCACTTCTTGCCCCTCATTTTATCACTCTAGGATGATATTTGGGACAAGACTCTTATCTATTAATCTTAGGTCACATCACAGGTTTGTTTTTTTTTACCCATGAGCAGTGCAATTTTGTTTTTTTAATTATTGTGTTGAATTCAATAATGTCAAATTGGTGGCAGCCAAATAGTATAATTATTGATCTGCAATATGAAAAAAAATAGCAAATCAAAAATAAATAAATAAATTTTAAAAAGCCAAAAAAAATTAAAATGCGACAAATTAAATAAAAACGAGTGATGTGCTACTGTTGGGCAACAAATGTGCATTTTTTGGGGTTGCACTATGCTATAATGTTTTCAACATCTCATACTTTTTTGCGAATTTTTTTTTTTTGGTCCTCCTTTTCATATTCTCCTTAAGAAGATGAGACTTCACGCTACAAATATATTACCATAGTTGTCACGTGAAATATGCTCATACTTTTTTCATATTTTCTATGTTAATTTGTGGTCATAAACAATAATATATAAGTTTATAAATTATTTCAATAGTGTTACTAATGACAATGAAACAAAATTTCCAAAATCAGAACATACAAATGCAAACTTTTCAAAAGTTTTTTTTTAATTATTTTTATTATCTCAGAAATTTAAAAATACAATTACAATGTTAAAAGCCTGACGTGTTTACGAATTTTTGGTTGTTGATAATTACAATATTATTTTTAGTTGTTGATAATTTTGTACAACAAATTGTATTCTTCTAAGCTATGATGACGTATACAATTTTTTGTTTCAACAACATACATAAATTTTATACAATTGTAGACACTTCATTTTTTACCGTCCTCAAGACTTAGGCGTCATCGTTTGAACACTCGATGATTATCTATGCTCGTGTTCGTTTGGAGTTCCCGAAGGCCTCGACTACGCACCTTGCCTTAAGATCTCTCAACTTGACTGTTTTGTACTTGGTTGTGGACCAAGGACTTGTGGTTTTTGCACCTGAGGGTAGGAAGTGGCTTGTTGGCCATCCCCTTAACCCACCGGCCATAGCCTGAGGCCACCGGCCTTATTTTCTTGCTATCGGCTAAGAGTGTTGGCCAATCGGCACTGTATTTGGTCGGTTAGCCATTGTTTTGGTCGATCGGCCACATATTCTGGCCGAGGCCTTTTCTTTGCCTTTTTCAGGCATTGTGCATGCCTACTATGCTAGCTGGTGAGTACAGACTCTGCCCTCCATACACGTGTATGGAGAGATTTGAACCAACACTTAGCTTCTCTTGGAAGCTTTGAATTGGGGATGAAACTTGGCACACACGACCGCCTAGGCATAAGAGACTTATGGGAGAAGACGAGACTTAAATCGGGTTCCCGGATTGGGAGTTAGAGGCGGATTTCACTTTAGGCAAACTAGTTCCTTAAGAAACTTGAATTCGAAGTGTTGACGCCCCAAAATCACCAAACGGGGTCGGATTGGCACGAAAATTGGCACACACGACCGCCTAGGAACGAGAAACTTGTGGGAGAAGACGGGACTCTGTAGACACCCCATTTTTGACCGACCTTAAGACTCAGACGTCATTGATTGAGCGTTCGTTGATTGCGCATGTTTGTGCTTGTTTCCGGAGCCTTCGGTCGAGCGCCTTGTCTTGTTTCCCTTTTGGTTTGGTTTTGAACCAAACCTTGTTTTCCCTTTCCTGGAGGGAGAGAGAGGTCCGTAGACCACTTTTTGTGGTCGAAGACCACTTTTCCCTCTCGTAGACTAGTTTCTGGTTTCCAGAGTCTTCGGTCGTGCGCCTTGTCTCAAGTCCGCTTATTGTTCTCCTCTTGGTTTGATTTTTGGACCATGCCTTATTGCCTTGGTCTAGAGGGACACAGAGGTCTTGTAGACTATTTTTCCCTTCCGCAGACCACTTTTGGTGCCATTAGACCAGTTTTCGAGGTTTTCGGCTACGTGCCTTGACCTGCGGACTCTTGTCTTGCATTCTTTTTGGTTTATTTTTGGCACAAACCTTGTTTTCCTTGCTTAGAGGGTGGAATAAGGGTTGGAGACCAGTTTCTCTCCCTGAAAACCTTTTTCCCTGCCTGCCAGCCAGTTTTCTGGTCGGCCAACTGGCCTTG